TCTCCTAATAATTCTTTCCCTAGTAGTTTTCTTTCACTTATAGGAGCTGGAGTTGAGGGTGCACTGTTCTTAGTTATTATTTTTAGTTCCTCTGAATTTTGTGTCAAGTCCTCAACAGTATACGATCTATTTTCAATGTACAGTTTATTCCCTTTAATGTAGGATTTATTGATAGGGTTCTCTCTTGCCTTTTTTAAATGTCTTCTTAATATCTGGTTTTCTTCTCTTTGTATCACAGTAAGATCTTGTGAGATTGACACACCAGTGTTTTTTAATTTTCTACACTGCCTAAGAACTTCAACTTTTTTTAAATTAGATATAAATTCTACTTTAACTACACTCTTTGAATTATTTAAATTATAATAATTGCTTAGGTCCGCGACTTATAGATCTATATCTAAGAGCTCACCAAGTTTTTGGCAAGTTTCTTCTGGTGTATTTTTTTCACTGCTTTCCAATCCAAAAACCAATATGTTATTTTTCATCGTAATACGATCAAGTATCTCTATTCGGTTCTGCAGGCCTGTATTTTCCTTTTCCAAATATTTAATTCTGTTATTTGCCGTTTCGATCTGTAACAATATCCTCGTTTCTAGGGCTTCTATCGTAGATTTAATTTCGATTTTGCTTTGCACAATTTCTTGCTTAATGACTTTCAATGCTTGCTGTATTTCATATGCCATTATAAAATCAATGTATATGTAATATATGATACTCTGTATAATTTATACTTTTCGTAAATAAATTTTTAAAAATCGATCACTGCGTTTGACGTACTTGCTAGACTGATGACTCAACACACATCTACACTGTACGACGCTAATTAATAGACTGTCAAAAAATGCATCACAAATAGAGATTAAACTCAATTTTTTTTTCGCTGTGGTTCCAACTCTCCGCTCCGAAATCGATGTATTTCGATACGAATAAAAATAATAAATAGATACGAATGTAATAGATAGGAACATGGTTATATTGGGGCAATGTTGCGCCTTGGGATGTTCGCCAATATAAATATCAAAAACTTTCAATATTTTCAAGGATTGCTGAGTCTTTTGACAAAAAAAACGGATTTTTTGGAAAGTCAATTATATTTTTTCCTGTCATTATTTTTCAGAAAATCGAAAAACTAATTGCACATTCTCATAGCCACTTTATTAGGGCTAAGTAAGTAAGACTAAGTAAAACACCAAGTAAGGCTAACTAAGTAGTACTAGCTAAGGTAAAGTAAGTAAGTAAGTAAGAAAGTTATCATGGCTATCTGATCGTATTTTTAAATTTTCAAATTAGCTAAAAATTTATGAGATACTCGTATATTACTATAGGTAAACTTATTTCTTTTAAATACGGACCTGCATATTTTATTTTCAGTTTCGAAATAATTTGCTCTCCCGAGTACAAAGATAGAAGAAGCCACACTTAATTATTTCTTTTGTTTTGGGTACAATCATAACAATATTGATGAGCGCCAACTGACATTGAATAAGAAAAATCTGAAATAAGAGGATGAAAAGACTGGATATGGATATATTGGGAATCAGCGAAACAAAGTGGACAAACAACGGGTCGTGCCAGTACAACGGGATAACGTTTTACTATTCAGGAACCGAAGAAACTGACCGTAACCATTGACACGGGGTAGGAATTTTAATAAAGGACTCGTTTAAAAAACATGTAAAAAACTGCACACCATACTCTCAGAGAATAATCTTATTGCAGCTAGCGGGAAAGCCAGTAGACATAAATGTTTTACAAGTTTACGCGTCCATCGCGGACAAGTCTGATAATGAAGCCACACATTTCTTCAAACAGCTGCGAGATATAATAAGAACACTCAAAAAGCATGAGATTAACATAATAATAGGCGACTTCAATGCAAACATTGGACATGGCTCCGTTGATGAAGTAATGGTGCTGTAGGATCTTGGAGAACAAAATAAGAGATGAGAAATGCTCAACAATTCTTTACCGAAGAAGAATTTGTTATCAAAAATATATTCTATAACCTATCACCATGTAGACTCTATACATGGAAATCACCTTGAGATAACGACCGTCATATAATCCGTAATCAAATAGATTATCTTAATATCGATTAATAAAAGATACCAAAATAACATCAAAAGAGTGGCAGCTTAACCTGTAGCCGACATTGGATCGAACCATAGCCTCCTAATGGGCATTTGCAAGTTTAGGGGGAAACTGGTTACCTGCAGACCCAAGATCAACATGTATAACATTGATGCACTCAGTAGTACTGTGCGACGGGTAAAGCTTAGAGAGGAACTAGAAGAACAACACAAGACGAAAAACAAGATGAAAAATAACACATCTGCAGAGGAAAACATAGAACAACATTGGATCAATATCACAACGAACCCACAACAGGATACAGAAAAGGTGCTGAGATACAAAAAGAAACAAGCTAAGGAAAGTTGGATGACCAACGAGATCCTGGATATGATGTGGGAAAGACGAATATAGCAAAGAGAAACACACAAAGTTACAAGGAAATTCACAGGAGAATTTGTCGTAAAATTAGATAAGCGAAAAATGCTTGGATATCGGAACAGTGTGCAGAGGCTGAAGAATTTGCACGCAAAACATGATATCCTCAATTTTCATATTAAATTGAAAGGAATAACCAACACTTTTAAGAAAACAAGTACCTTCAGAATCGCAAAAAATAATCGGATATTATATACTATAATTCTTGAAACTTTTTGATGGCATCTTGGTGAATATCCAAAGGCGCAAATTTGCTCTAATTCTATCACGTTCGTATTTACGGTTTCCGAGATACTAATGCTCGTACCTCGAATTTTTAGCACCTTGTATATATAGGAGGGAGTGGAGAGAGACGAGAAAATGCTAGAACGGCGGGAATCTGGGTGCGAATGAGAAAGCCAGCTGTTCTCGAGGCCCTAGAGGTTTAGATTACTCTCACACTTCTTCTTTTTGTGCTACGATCATCAGTCAACTAGATTGATTTGTGACAATACAAAAGAAATTATAGGATGGTTATAAAAAAACATACTATTGTAGCACCCATATAAGTTTCAAATTGTAATATGGTTGCATAAGGAAGAATTACTACAACATGTAATTCTATTACTTTTTTACTTTACTTTTATATTTATTATTGTTGCATTTTCACAGAAACACAATGTGTGTAATGTTTCATAAGTAGTAATCAGTTTTTTAGAAGATTTAGCAAACTAGGCAAAGGAAATAAAGTCCTTCTACTCTGGGTGCCCGTTCATCAAGGGATAGAAGGCAATGAAAATGCAAACGATCTAGCTAGAATAGGAGCGAACACTCCACTAACTGGACCAGAATAGTTCTGCTTCCCAAGCGGAAACCAGCTTAAACCGGAACTGAAGAACCTGGAGGACTCTATCCGTAACCTGGAATGGGAATCCTCCAACGATCTAAGACACTCGAAAATGTTTCTAGCGTGTTCATTCTGTTGTTTATTATTGTTGTAAATATCTTGTATGTTACTGGTAGTAGGATTATTGGTCTATAGTTTCTGATGTCTTGTTTGCTGCCTTTCTTATGAATTAGAATCATGAAATTTATTTATTAGAAATAAATTTATTTAGAGGTCATTGATATTTACTATAAACTAGCTAAATATTTTTGAATGTTGTTTTTATTTTTTTGTTCTTTGACATTGTAAACATTTATAAATGTTTATTTTAAATAATAAGACTGACAATATTATTTGTATAATGTTTTGTATTATCTTTTGTTTGTTTGTTTAGTTCACCTTTGTCTACAAATTGAAAATTTTTTTGACAATTAAGGTATTTCAGTAGACTATGTACACTCGAGGAGAATAGACGTGTTTCGATCCGTCCAGTGTAAATTAATAATAGAGTTAAATATTTAAATTTTAACTATTTTTGCTATATTCTTGGTAATCGTATTTAGTAAAATATTTAAAATGGTGTTTACTGAACGACAAAAAAAAACGAATTATTGTTATTAACAACGGAAGCATCAAAAAAAGTGTTGACCGATACCTTAAATGATAAAAACTTTATGGAATGTTTAGCTGCTAAAGTGGCTGGTATAGTAGTGGATAAAATTAGTGAGCATATCTCAAGGATTTGGAAAATAAAGTCAACATGTGGGAAACACGACTACGCAGTGCAGAATGTGAGAAGGAGGAAATTTTTAGTAAACTAGATGACCTAGAGCAAAAATCAAAAATGAACCAACTAAGACTTTATGGACTTAAGGAGGATGAAGGATTATATTATCCCTATTAAGGAAGGATCGAGTTTTGGATATTCTAGAAAACCAAATGGGACTTGTAAACATTAATATTGAGGAATGCTACAGGATTGGAAAATTAATGAACAGTAAAAAAGTTAACCCAAGACCCATCATTATTCATTTTGCGTCTTTAAATCAACGCAAATTAGTTTTCGAAAATAAAAGAAATCTGAAAAACAGCAAATTTGTCATTGTAGAAGAACTCACACGACATCATTATACATTGTTAATGGCAGCAAAGAATAAACTTAGAAGAGAAAAGGCTTGGTCAGTCAACGGAAATTTTTTTATAAATTATAATGGGCAAAAGATGGTTCTAAGAAATGAAGATGAAATTCTAAAAGGTACTGCTTAACCGGACGTCGAATAATATTTGAGAAGGAAGGCGAACGAAGAAAATAGTGGAAGAGGAGATAACAAAAAAAAAGAGACCCCGTGAAGCTTCTGCCGGGACCTATCAAAATTTTAGTTTAGTGCATGTTTTTTTTTATTGGAAACTTAATTTAAATACAGATTTAGTGTTTGGGAGTGCGCGATTGTGTGTTCGTATATTCTGATTGTAGTAGGGATAATTGATATTTGTTTTCTTTTTCTTTTTACTATAATTCATAGCTTAGATCGTGGTCATCTTACCACATTTTTTCAAAGTCAAGATATTTGCTTATTTTATTTTCTTGTTCTCAACACGATAAATAGTTATATGCGGTTGCATTAAGATGAATGAACCTAATATTGTGCAATTACTTGAAGATACTGAATATGTTGGACCTTGTCAGTACTATGATGTCACGGATGCTGCTGAGATGGATTTTGTTAATGGAGGTGAGAATGTAAACATATCTATATTACATATGAACATAAGAAGTATAAAAAAGAATTTCGATGATATTTCACTTTTTTACAGGGTTTAAATATTTCATATGACGTAATTGTTTTGAGTGAATCATGGCTATTTTCGAATTCTTTAAGTACAGAAATGTTTAATTTACCTAATTATTCCATTAATGTCATTGGCCCGCAGACTAACAGAAGTGATGGTTTAGTTATATATGTGAAAAATACGGTTGAATTTGAAATATTTCAAGTAAATATTAAGCAGGCTTGCGTAGCTCAAATTAGATTAGCCAAATACTCAAATCTGATTAACATATGGGCCATTTATAGGTCTTCTTCGTTAGATTGCGTTCAGTTTATCAATAATTTTTACGAAATACTATGTCAAAATAAGAGTTTCAAAAATCAATTTGTGGTAGGAGATGTTAACATAGACATCCTTAAGACCCGTAACGAAGTACAACTCTATCTAAATAAGCTTAATAGTCTAGGATTTTTGAATTTCATCACCAAACCCACAAGATGGAATGAAAGAGGTGGGAGTTGTATTGATCATATTTTTGGTAAAATTGAGGGCTATTTAAATATAACAGCTGGTATAATAAAATCATCTGTCACCGATCATTATAGTGTATTTGTTTGCTTAGGTCTTAAACAGCAAAGACAGCCTATTTATAATTATTCTAAATTTTATGAAAATAAAAGGTTCCATGCAGATCGGTTTCTTGAAATACTAAAAAATAAAAATTGGGATTTGGGTATTGCGGAATATGATCCTGAAATTGCTTACCAAAATTTCTTAAATGAATTTCAGATTGCAATAGCATCTTCAACAACGATAACAAAAATAAAAATTAACTCTAAAAATAAAAGACTAAAATCATGGATGACACAAGCTTTATTGAATTCTATAAAACAAAGAGACAAATTAGCAAGGGTCGCACATTCAAATCCAAATAATGTAACTGTCCAAGAATCATACAAAAACTATAGAAATCGATTGACAGGGTTAATTAAGGCGCAAAAAATAAAATATTACACTTATAAAGTAGAATCAGTGGGTAACGATATGAAGGCTTTATGGAAAATAATAAATGAAATTAAAGGTAGGGATTGTAATAATAATGAAAGAAACATTTCTATCAAAAGTAATAATACTTTACTCTCAGAACCTTGGATAGTGGCAAATCATTTTAATAATTACTTTGTTAATGTGGGCGAGAGTTTATACAAAAAAATTAGTGTAAAAACAAACAAGTACGCTGATACGGTACGGAAAGGACAAACTTTATTTTTAAATCCTACTGATCCATCTGAGATAAAAAGCATTATACAGTCTCTAAAAAATAATACTGTTTCAGGATTTGATAATATAGACGTTAAAAACATCAAAATTGCTAGTGAATACATATGTCTCCCACTAACTCATATTTTCAATCAAGTTTTTATATCCGGAAAATTCCCATCAAAATTAAAAGCATCTCTTGTAGTCCCAGTATATATAAATCGGGAGACAAAGCTGAATGTTCGAACTATCGGCCAATTACATTACTGAATCATTTCACAAAAATACTTGAAAAACTGATTAAAACGCGTTTAGTATCATATTTAGAAAAATACAAAATAATATCTTCCAAACAGTTTGTTTTTTTGAAAAACACTTGTACAAGTGATTCCATCAACAAGCTTCTATAGCATGTTTATGATAATATTAATAACAACAAAAAGACGATTGGAGTGTTTTTAGATCTAAAAAAAGCGTTTGATCTTTTTTTAGATCTAAATTTTGTTTGCGATACGTCAAACCAAACGTCTTATACAAAAAATGGAAAATGTGGGAATTTTGGGGAATACAAGCACACTTTTTCAATCGTATTTTAACAGAAAGAGTGCAAATCACAAAAGTTAACGGGGTGCTTAGTACTTCAAATTTTGTAAATTATGGTATTCCTCAGGGTACTGTTCTGGGTCCCTGTTCTCTTTTTAATATATTTAAATGATTTTTTGGAAATAAAGCTAAATAGTGGAAACATGATATCGTATGCGGACGATACCGTAAACCTATTTGAAGGGAGAACGTGGCAAGAAACAGTAATAATGGCAAATCAAGGACTGCACGAAGTTAAATGTTGGTTGGATGAGAATTGCCTGACTCTGAATGCGAATAAAACCGTGGCAGTTCCATTTAATGTCCCGGAGAGTTTTTTTTTTCTAACTTACATAATATAAACATTGAGGGTGGCTATGTTCAATATCGGAATACTACAAAATATTTAGGTTTACATTTGGATGGCAATCTAAAATGGAATAATCATATTAACATTTTAACTTCCAATATCAGAAAGCTCTCTGTTTTATTTATTCACTCAATTAAGATTATATATGAATTTTGAAACCTTAAAAAAGATATATTTTGCATTTGGCCAGAGTTCACGACAGTGTGGCATTACAGCGTGGGGCTCTGCTTATAAAACATTACTAAAGAAAATCGAAACAGCACAAAAAATTATTTTAATAATAGCTCAATTTAAACCATATCACTTTTCCACTAAGGAAACCTTTGCAAGTTTTCAAGTACTGGATATACGTCAACTATACGTGAGAAGTGTAATAATATACATGCATAAATACAAAAAATCGACAAGTAATAATAATTGTAACAATATATTTACTAGAGCCTATTCAAGACAAGATTCAAGCATACCGTTTATGAAATTTAAATTAACACAACATTGTTTACTTTATATTGGTCCAAACTATATAAACTTTTACCTGTGGATATAAAATGCCATAATGATGCGGTTTAAATCTTTAATAAAAAAATAGATAATATCAAACCATTCCTATCGCAATATCATCTAAATACCAAAATATCTATTCTATTAGTGACTCTCTGGTACCCGTGCCTTGTAGTGCTGAAAAGATGGGTAGTATTTATTTGACTTGTAATATGTAAGTAACTCTTTTTATTTCTTATTTTTGATTATATATAATAATAATAGCTCCCGTATATAGCGTTTAACGCCTTGGGAGTAGCAAGGTACAGCTTGCTATACTAGAGCCGTTCGGTATACAAGGAAGGTAATGTGGCTAGCACTACGCTTCAACCGCCTATTATTATCTCAGGATTGTGAATCCCAAGTACTCATTTAAGGCTGAGTCGACCTAGATACCCAAACTATTTTTATTTTAATAAAAATAGCCCGCTGATGAAATGCCGGGTGTGGGAATCGAACCCACACCTTGAGATTGGTAGACGAGAGCCTGTACCTCTACGCCACCGGGCACCTATTATTTATTATATTATTTTATTATATTTTTGATTATACATAGTGAACTTATTATGTAACTGCTAGAGTTTAGTCTACGCAACAAATTTTCTTTTTTTTTAATTATTATTATTCCCACGCACAAGTTCTCAAGCTTATATGGGATAATTTTGAAAATATGTTTTATAGTTCATTATAATAATTGTACATGTTTATAAATTATAAATTTATTTATTTATTCATGTTGGCGCTATTCCAGTCTTGTGGTATATGTTTTCTTCGAAGACAGCTGATGTATATATTTTTTATTAAGAAATAAATATAAAAATATTTCGTAATATTACAATGTCAATCAACAACAGGTTAATCAAATACAGTACATAAATAATATAGGCAGACAGTAGTATCGACTGACTACACTAGTATTGACCAGTAGACTGACAGTAGTATTGACCATCTACAAAATAATGTAGGATACAAATAATATAGTACAGTATACAAATCAGTAAATATCTATTCATTATTAAGAAAACTCTTTATGATTCAAAATGAATTGGATTTGAATTTTTACTTATAGTGTAGTTTTAAGCTTTATATAATATGTATATTTTTATATCTTCGTGTAAGCCTAAATATGAATCGGTACCTAAAATTGAATAAAGCTCTACAAATTCAGTTTTAGAACATGATATGGTGCGATTGCAAATGCGAATTAGAAGTTTACTGTAAATTTATTCCGCAGAATTGGTTAGGTCAGGCACTATAATATTGCGGACTAAGCAAGTTGGAAATTGCGGTTTAACTGACCACGTTGATTAGTGCACAGGAAGAGGTTTTTAGAATTAAATTACTATTTTATAAAGCCCATTTTCTGGAATTTGTGTCATCGATTATAGCGATCTGGTTTACAACATATTAAGGAATTCGTTTGTAATTAGTGGTGGTAATAAATTAAAATCAAATGAGAAATGTTTGTCGCATTATATAAAATTCAATTCAGAAAGTACATTTTGAAATTAATCTTTATATCAACAAATTGACTTTAAAATACGTCACGGAAATTAAGAAGTAGACAATAATATAATAAAATATATTCATTTGAATCGGGGTTATTATTCTACGATATTTTACGATGTCTAGTCTCCATTCTGGCCTGTTTTGCCAAGAGTTCTTTCTTTTTTGTACCTACCAGTGGGTGTCCAATTCAGAATTTGTTTTGGCAGTCTATTGTTGGTCATTCTTTGGACGTGCCCGTACCATTTAAGTTTATTTACTTTTTTATCTTCCACTATAGAATGATTGACGCCCATATTTCCCGCGATCTTTTCGGTTGTAATTTTTTTCTTGATTTCCCGGCTGATGATTTCTCGAAGACCATTTCTGTTGCTTCCAGCATCTTTTCTGCTTTCTGCTTTAGTTGCCATACTCCACTGCTACAGGTTATAAAGCTTTTTATAATACTGTTATATACAGGGTGGTCCGAACTGTATTCCGGAAACTTCGACAGCATATTCTGCAGATTAAAATAAGTAAGAAAGTCCGTATAAATGTATGTTCTAGAATTCTTAGTTTCGGAGATACAGGGTGTAGAAGTTTCATTTTATTTCGATTTTTTCCAAATAATTTATGAAGTAACATCAATATTTGGATGAAAATTGGTGTCTGGGAGTTTTTTGACATGAGAAATTTGGATTTTCATGTCAATATGACTCCTACTTG